AATGTGCTTGGATTCATTAAGCGTTTGTCTAAGGATCTTAACGATCCTTTCATAGCGAAACTTCTACACATTTCTCTTGTTCGCCCTATTATTATTAAATAATTAGGAAGACACTCGTTTTTGTCGACCATTAATAAACAAAATAAATAAATAAATAAATTTTTAAAACTTAGTACATTACTAATTCGACGTATTTAATAATGTATTTAGATATGTAAATATTCCCATCAATTGTATGTACATTTACAAGTACATTACACTTAAAGCGATAATAAATTGAACAGAAATCTGATTAACTTACTTCTCTGCTCATGTCGGCATGCTCAGGCAACAGGTGTATTTTCAATTTGAGCCTAAACTATGACATGCTCAGGAATCTGTATAAGTTTTCATACATGTTGTACTATATACTGCTGCCAGGCAACATTGATCGGCAGAGATTGATTGACTCCAATTATTTCTAAAGGCTAAGCGTAACCAATCGCTGCCAACAAGGAGTACATGAACTCACACACGTCCCAATATAGTCATGCAGGCTCAACAAATGTAACAGGCGCCCTTAGCTCCACACAGAAGCCCTTAATGCAGAAACCTTCAACACTCACAGTCGCAACCAATTAATTTGTACAACATTCGAATGGGGATTCCATCTGTAACAATATTGAAAGGTCCGTAAAGATACACGACTAATTTCCTATATAGTCAAGAACTAAGGCAAGGTAATTCACATTCATATTTACTACATTAAACTTTTAAATACTTATCATAAATTGCATTTTGTTAATTTAATGTCAACTGAGTTTCCTCCTGCTAAAATTCACAGCCAAAAATGTGACATAGGCAAGTGCACTGAACGGTATTTAAAAAGTTGTTAAACAAACTTTCAAATTAAACACACGGGTGCTTAAATTGTGCAGATGCCTTTCAGGCATACAAGCAGGCAGGCAGACACACACACATACTCGAGAAGGTACAGTAGGTTGACGTGTGAAGCTTAACGGTAAAGTTCTTGTGCTTCCTTCAGTGTTTATTGCATTCTGCACGTGTTAATTCCGTTTTCATTATAATGCCCATGTCACGGCAAAGGTGTGAAAAGTCCAAAATGAACATGCCTTTTTGAGTTGTTTTTACTCAAAGCCCATAAAAGTTGCCTATGATATTGTGATATTAAACGCAGTTTATGGCTCGAGTTGAATGAATGATATTTGGTAGACAAATTCAAGCTTCAGAAGCAACGTCATACAAATGCGTCTTCCTAGCGATAAAGGCAAAGCATACATTTTACGTTTTCCGAGATGTTTATAAATTTTGATAAAATATAAGTTTTTCGCTTGGCATGTCGCAAGCAAATTCCATCTACACGACCAACCTCCATCTAGACTAAAAAAATCTTTTTGTGGCATTTGCATAGAAATTTAAAAAAATTTATCATAATTCGATAATGCTTTGAGAAAATGCCAACTACAACCACTTCACAACTTTTCAACATAGTTCACAAGCACAAGCAATTCGATGAGCTTTAACTTTGAGCCTGATTTAGAGCTGCGGAGAACTGGTGCAACAGACTAAAAAGAACAAGTAAGAGGTTCTATTCGGGAGCTCCCGACTAGGGGTTACCCTGAACCCTCTTCTTCCAACATCATCAATGCATATTCTATTTAAGAAGCTATATGTCAAGTTTGGTGACTCTAGCTCTTATTATTTACCAAAATTGTCAAAAACACAGGATATCGATATCGATTTTTATCGATTGCTTGTAAACGGAGTAAGTTATCGATTATCGGTATCAATCTCGATCTGCGCGGGAACTTGGAGCATCTACATCTAAAATTTCAAGTCTATAGCTCTTATAGGTTTTGAGATCCTTGCGTTCGGACAGACGGACGGACGGACGGACGGACGGACAGACGGACAGACGGGCAGACAGACATATGGACATGTCTAGATCGACTCGGCTATTGGTGCTGATCAAGAATATATATACTTTATGGGGTCGGAGATGCTTCCTTCTGCCTGTTACATACATTTGGATTTTGCAGAAATACAATATACCCTTATACCCATTTTTAATGGGTTTAGGGTATAAAAATATGAAAAGTGAAAACAGGAAGATGAAAAACAGAAAAACAGAAATCCGGTGTCCCATACAAATGAAATGGATTTAAAATGCATAGCATCAATTATAAAAAGTTTTCTTAATTTTCTCAAGTTCATAATTCAAATTGAGGTTCACACGCATGCAAGCTCTTTCAAAGGCAAGCAGCAAGGACAAAAGGCAAAAACTTGCTAGGGAGAACACGCACATGCATACACACACGGATGTATGCGCACATCGTGTGCATTTGTTTATTCCTCGATTGCGTACAAATATTTACATTTGCAAAAGACATGCTAAGAGCATTGCCGGCACCAGGAGCAGCTGCCATGCAAATGTGTGTAAAAATTGTGCCTGCATCCAGCTGCATCTTCAGCTCAGTCTCTATTTTGATGGTGCAACTGGCATTTGGGATCTGCCGGGAAGCAGCACACATTTTATATGTAAATTTACCACTTCTTCAGAAAATTATTCAAATTACTTGCAAAAAGTCAGAACGCAGCTGAAATCAATGCAAGCGGAAGTGGATGTAAACAAAATGGCGTCGCCTCTGAGGAAAACTTATCTTTAGCATGTAGCCTTGGCCGCTTTTGCAGCTCATCAGCCAAATTGACAAATCTTTGCTTAAAGTCAACCCAAACAATTGGAAATATGTATTTTAGCCGGCATTTTGCAAGCAAGCGGCTATCATCAATCACCTCGTCTCTTGGCTTTATGGCTGGTAATCCTTTAATATTATTAAATAATTAACACGAATTTGGTGGCTTGTTTATGATTTTGACACGAACACAACACAAAGCTCAGACGCTAGCAGCAGCAGTATTTATGAAGCTCTGCGGGGATTCAGTCATCAAAAGATAAACGCAATTATAGCGCAGTTACGTGGCAGCAGCAGGGTAATGGCCAGGACGGGGGGTCACAGCGCAAATGAAGACAATGCCGCGGTGCTAAACATGCAAATTAGCGTGCAAAAGTTTGACACTGACGAGCACCACGAAGGAGTTAAAGTTCCTTTTAAGCCAAATTTGCATATTTAAATGGCTTACATGCGGCACTTGGCACTCGGTCTGTTGGCAACATGCAGAAGCTCATCTTGTGCCCTGTCAGCGACTTGTTGTCACGTTTCCCTTGGCTCATAAAAGTAAGATTGAATTTTGAGCGGACGAGCGACAATCTAGGAAGGGTGCGTAGTGGCGCTAGCTCTGCTGGCTTTGCATGTCTAACCAGAAAGTTTACATGACTGCGGCGCTGTCTGCACTTAATAGGCCAAATGAACTTGAACCCTGGCGAGGATGGAGTCGACAAGCCGTCGGAATCCACACGCTTGTGCTCAAAGTTAACGTGAAAGTGAAAGTTTTTGATCCTGCCACAGCAACAGGAAGTTATTAACGCACGAGCTAGATACCTTCTTGGCCATATACTTATAAGAATGTCTTTGCATGTGTCACATCATTGAGCAGGAAATTAAATTTATGCTCGTCATTTCATACATTTTGTTTAGTATTTACTACTTTTGGAAACTTCAAGTCGATAATAAAAGATTTTTATCGCAGTTATAAATTTTTACTTTTTTGAAATCCGATTTTATATATCTCATCTGGGCACTTCTGAGCCTGAAAGCAAAGATTGTGTGGCTAGCTGCTGAAAAATACTGCGCGCTTGTAGCTATCTCAACCCATTAAACTCATAATGGGGACTTACTTATTGATTCAGAAGTTCACTAAATATGCCGGCACAGCAGCTAATGATTTTCTTAGAGGCCCGCAGTCCTGACCCGCTGGCTAGATGTGTGTTTCATAGGCACCCCGTTGGCATGACCCATGCTCGGCATTCATTCAGCTAAGCCACTACACTTCAGATCCCTTTTGTTGACTAAGTTTAGCACATTATGTATACGCAACGTGATGCTGCAAAACAAAGCTAAGTAGAAAAGCAACACAGTTTTAGTTGTGAAGATTTAATTTTTTGCATTCAAAACACAAATTGCAAACAACCAACAACGATTCCAAATTAGAGCTGATTTCTTGGCCTTGACCGCTTTACCAATGTCTAAGCTGGCAGTCCTTCTCTGTACCATTGCTATTCATTAAGCTGGCTTATCTGGCTTAGCAGAATAACATGAGTAGCCCATTCACATATATATATACATACAGTAAAATCTCTTAAGTCTCTCTGTTATTGATCATATCAATTGGCCGAAACTTAGTCAAATCACAGCAAAGTGTTTGCCTCACAAATTCGTAGCATTCCTTGGCGCAGTCGAAAAGTATTCGTTAGATGTGAGCAGAACAAATAAATCATACTGCCAAAGGCAACCAAACAACAACTCAATCGTCAAGACATTCCCGACGAAAACGCGCAATGATAAATCGAAAATATTTTTAGTTGTTTACACAAAGCAGTGTCGAACAACCGCTGGAGCCGGCGCCCAACCAAGTGGAGGCAAGAAAAACTGTCACACAGCAGCTCTTCCTGGCCAGCACTCAACAGAACGCAACTAGAAACTCTCCAACCACTCGACGACACTCAGTGATGGAGGGCAGTCGCTTAATGAACTTGCAAACAGTCGAGCAAACAGGAGATTATGCTGCCACTGGACAGAGCTTGGGCTACCTCCCTCCCAGAATCGTTGTGTAAACATCTTGCGCGACCTTGTCTACTTGTAGCGGTGCGTCCATCCACAGCCCCTCTTTCACTCCATCCGGACAGCATTCAAGTGTTAATTGCGTGCGTGATTTAAGCTTTACCCAGAGCAGCGCTCTACCAGCCTATGCAGGACGTCAAGAATAATTGCTTTTTGATTGAGTTCAATGTACATGGGGCTTTTTTGGCCTACAAATTAAACTTGAATGCTCAAAAACGTTCACTCATCAACTGCGTCGCAATCCAGCAGCACTCAAGCAAAATGTACTATCCGCAGGAGCTGACACAGCCACGACCACGTCGCCCGCTTTATGGGAATTACATCAATGAAACTGCTCCACGTCATCGAAACGTCGGGCGCTGCTGCAAGGAGAGCAAGTTTCTAAAGCTAGTAACCCCCTATCTTAAGGAATACTGTTCTTCTTCTTCGGTGCATGGGATTCGATATTTGACGGATCCAAAACTGCGTAATTTTGAAAGGTGAGCCTAGATAAACATACCTATAAGCAATAGTAAATTAAAAAAAAAATATTATTAGAATAACGAGGAACTATTAATATTATGCGCATAATGTAGGGACTACCTGGAGTTTCAAAATGTCAAATTGTCACCTCTTTTCCGTCCGTGAAAAATTCAAATCTATATTGAACTTTAGGTCTACGTTTTGAAATTTTCAAAGACATCGCAAAGTTGGAATCAACTGTTTCCTTCCATATTAGCCTTGTGAAGAGAAACAAGAAGCCGAGAAATAAAAATTTTAACCGACTTTTTCAGTCAAATCGTCAATCGTTTAAAAAAATTGTAAAAAAGATCTTTGGAATGATGATCGGTTTGTTAAGTAGCTTCGCATAATCAATTAAAGTTGAGGTGGCAACAAGGGCTTTATTTTGCAGAGTATTCTTTGGCTTCGAAACCCTCGAGGATGAAATTCACAACACTATTTAGTTGTTCTGGTATGCCATGGGATTTTCGGAATCCAAAATGAAAAGGAGGAATTTTTTGTTTATTCCTTTCGGATTCGGTCGGTTTCCTTTTGACTACGCAGCTCCAGTAGCTTTTGACCCGATTCGACAATGTGCCCTTGTCGCCTAACTTCTCCCTAATGTAATCTTCAGGGGTGGTGCTAGCCAAACAGTGACAGAGTAAGAGGACGCGTAGATGGAGTTTGACGAAATCAATCCACGAATTTCCGCAGGTGTAGGCCAGCAATTTTCTCAATTTTCTCGAAATCTGGTCGCAGCTCTCTCGGCTAAGAGAGCGCGGATGTAATAACATCCATGCCCAATGTTGCATAATAGATGATAATATATTGTTTTTATTTTTGTTATTATTGTTATTAGTTCCAGGAAATCCGTTAACACAATTTTTATTTTTATTTTTAAAGAAAAATTACCTCTGTATTCTTCATCTTAATACCTCTATTAAGCAAATGAGCCTTATTCATAGGTCATAAAAACTTTACTTTTCTTTAACTCTTTAGGTTGATTTGGCTACTGATTTTGGTAGGCACCTTTATATGCGCCACAATTGTCTATGTTGACCTGACCGAGCTATACAACTCCGCGCGTGTGCACACAACCATCGAAGACAGCATGCTGCCGATATTCTATGTGCATTTCCCATCTGTGGGCATTTGTCCACGCAGTCGCATCAATTGGCCCAGATTGCAGGAAGAGGTCCCAGCTTACTTTATGGGTACCAATGCCACCGCAGAACAAAAAGAGCTCTTTAAAAGCTTCTTTACAGCCGTCTCTGCTTTGCACTTCAATGATATGCGGAGCCTGGAGAGCTTCTTTAAGAACTCGTCCCTTGCAGCAAGTATCAGCCAGTTGGATGGATTGGATGTGACAAAGGTATTGGAATACATGAATCTAGATTGCGGCGATTTCTTTTTGGATTGTAACTGGCGCGGCAGGCCGCACAACTGCTGTGAGATTTTCGAAATGCAACGCACCGAATTGGGATTTTGCTGGGTCTTTAATTCGGCAGTTAGTGCACAAATGCGACAACGGCAGGTGGGTACTTAAAACTGAAAATAATTTGATAATTCCTAAGTATTCCCTTAATAGAGGGAAGACAAGTATTACCCACGCCGCACTGCACAATCTGGCCCCGGCACTGGCCTACAAGTAGTCATGGGCCTAAACAAAACACTAGCTAAGCCTGGATTGCGTGGTGTATACGTTATGGTAAAGCAGCCGCAACAATGGAGCGAGGCAGCACGCTTGGTGCCACACGACTCTCACAACAGAATCAGTGTGATGCCCCGCTATACTGGTTCCGATTCAAGAACTCGAGTCCTCACGGCAAGAGTAAGACGTTGCATTTTCCCTGATGAAATTCACGATCCGCACTACAAGAATCTACCGGGCTTTGTTTACTGGCGTGGTAACTGTCGCACAAAATGCCACCAGGAGCATGTGATTGACCTGTGCAAGTGCTCACCATCTCTGCTCTTTCCCCGCAGTCAGGGGGGTGAGTATGAACTTGACTTTGGATTGACTTCTTTTACTAATTAATCTGACTCACTGCAGATAACTTAACGGACTGCAAGGCCTCTGACTATAAATGTCTTTACGAACACAGATGTAAGATATAGATGTCTATATATAGATTACAAGTCCTTCTGAAACAAACATTGTATTCCGTTTAGTGACCTTTAGCGTGGAGCGCCTTCCTCTGGAGCAGCAATACGTGGATAACGTGTACAAGGATAGCATGAACTGTGACTGCCTAAACAGCTGTTCGCAGCTGGTTTACGATACCATCTTCAGCAACAGTGCTATGGAGTAAGTCAGTATTTCTTAGTATATCCTAACAGGTCTATAACAATTCCATATTATAGCTCCCAAGAACTAAATGCTGATGTTATTAGCATGCACTTGGAAGTCTTCTTTCAATCACCTTGGTTTATCAAATACCAGACTCATATGCGGTTCACTTTTGTGGAACTTCTGGGTGGGTTTTATACAGTACTCAGTCTATGCAAATATTAAAGTCCATGTCCCTCAATTACAGCTAGCTTTGGCGGCATTATTGGTCTATTTCTTGGCGCCTCGCTCCTTAGCGCAATAGAGTTGGTCTACTACTTTACCATTGGCCTCTATTTATATTTATATCGCGGCAACAGAGAGTCCAATCAGCACCCACTAACACCACCACCACCAGCTCCCATCACACTGCACTTCCGCCGCAAGATAACACCTAAAAAAATGTTTATTGATATCAAATAATAAATACAAGAATAAAGAGGTATTTTTGATGTGTCATATTTTATTTCCTACCAACCTTTAAATTTCTGGTACTACTTGATAATAAGAACTCGGTTTTCAAATGATTTCCGAATTAAATAATTGGTATTATATTTAACCGACTTTGCAAATGATATATATATTATGTCGAACTAAGAATTAGATTGTAAGTGAAACATCAGCATTGTAACTCAAATACATATGAAATAACTTGTTGGTTTGTTAGTAAAAATAAAGGGATACAAAAAGAAAGACAAAAATATAATATTCACCACGCATTGGTTCTGTTATTAAACGGATGCCGCAGTTTACTTTTGGCCAGAGATTCCGAAGGACCAGCTTCCTGGTGAACGTGACTCACTTCGTTACGTAAATAACGCAGCCCCTTGGACCCCATCGCTTTGAGTTTCTTACGAAAGTCGACATAGTAGTTGTTATCATAAAGGTGTAGAGCAAATCCGACAGTTAAGAAGTAGAGCAGCTCAACACAACTGACCATAGAGGCGCCCAGGCAGAGGCCAAATATGCCGCCAAGATTAGCTGGAAGAGCAAATAAATATTTAATATGTATGCGCATATACTATTTAAAATTTTATATTGTAACTGAAATACCAATCAAATCGATGCTGCTAAACTCCAGACTAGTGCGAAACGTTATCATCATTTCCACTTGATAATGCACATCCACCTTGAAGAACTTAAGAGTCGGTGATGCAGGCCTAGAATAACAGTTATGAATATACTATTACCAATTGACTTCTATAGAATAACTCTACAATTCTCTTGAAGACAATGGCAGCGTTGTTGTGGACGTATAGTACTCCAGCAGATTACAGTTGACCAGACAGGGACAGGTCATGCCCGGCTTGGTGGCGCTAAAGTAATTATCCTCCTCCAAGTGCTTGTCATAACCAAAAATATCTGCAATATACAATTTAATAATTGCTGCTCGAGTTGGCAAGAAGCAAAGTTTGGGACTTGCCATTGTGACGCGAAATACACCGCAGACTGGACGCAGTGCAGTTATTGGCTAAAGTGAAGAGAATAGTCATAGTGAGACAGTAGTCCAAGTAGTCCAAGAGAGTGGTCGCTCACCTTTCTGATTGCTTAGAAAGAAAATTGGTAGCGTGCAATTGCACAGTTTGACCAAATAGGACTCATGACAGTTGTTAAGGCAGTTGGAAAGCAAAAAACTCTTACTAAAGCGACCAGGAGCAACGCTGATGCCAAAATCAACGTGCTCGTCCGTGAAGTGGCAATTGCGACGCTCCGGCGGAATGTTGCGAGTGGTGTTGTCGGTGCGTGTCAACAGGGGCCGCACTGACACATGAGTTTCTGTGTTGGGCGTTATGGAGTAAACCGCGTTAGACACTTGGTTTGGCTTCTTGATCATAATCTGTAAGCTGACAAGTTTTATAAAAAGCAGTCAAGATAAATGTGCGAGCTATTCACAAACACATTATCCGTGGCTAAAGTATCTGGGCGCTTAAAACGCTCTTTCAGCAGTAGATTGAAATTGAGACCCGAGCTCTGACCAGCCTTGGCATTGTGCTTCGGATAGTAAGCGGCGCCCTCACGCTTTTTAATTTCCTTTGAACGATCCGATAGTTCCGAGTTGAATACCAAGCAGAAACCATACTCAGTCCTCTCCAGCACAAAGTAGTCGCAGCAGTTGAAGGACGATTGTCGCCACTTACAAGAGCCTGGCACCAGAATATCCTCACAGCGTAACGTTAGGAAGTGGGCCAATGCACTTAAGTTGATAAAATCCAAAATCTCTAGATGTTCATCCTCCATTTCGGAAGTGCTATACTCAAAGTTTGCAAACCTCAGCGTTTCCAGGTATGTAACTAGAGTCGTAAATACTTCGACAACATCTTCACTAGCATTTACCGGCAGAAACTGTGCCTTGGCCGCATCAAGCTTGCTCCAGTTGATGCGGTTATCCGTGCAGACGCCCACTGCCGGGAATTGCACATAGAAGACTGGATACTGCGAATCGTCAATAACTGTTTGCAGCTTCTGCGCTCCATAACGCTCCGACAGCAGCATATAAAAGGAGCAGCAGAGCGTAACGCTTATGATGAGCAACACGCTCCAGATGAATCTAATTTGAGAATACATTAGTTAGTTGGCCTCATATCGAGCTCGTAAGCAGCACCTCTCAACATTATGCAGCCTGGGATCGTAAAGATAGCGCACACAGTGTATGGTTGATCTTTCACAGTAGTAGCGAAAGTATTCGCGTACCAGCTCAATAAAGCGCCTCTCCACATCCTTATCCGACTTGGCAGCGTTCACTGCCTTAACCATTTTGTTACTGTGCATGCTGACAGCTCGCTCTGGCTTTATTAATGCGATTCCCATTAAAGTTTGGCGTTGTAATTGCCGAGCTGAATTTATGACTAGATATCCATTATGCCTAACAACTTTTGTAATTGAGTTGTTATGTTTCGGTTGCCTGATAGGCCCATTGACAGATATCCGGCTATGAACTTTTGAAATTGATATCAACGCTGCTGTTCATTGATTAACTGCCACGCCTGTCAATCAGTTCATCAAAATGAGTACAGCGATTAAGTCTTCTGATTTCAATGATGATAATGATGATGACAAGCCGACCAATACTGGGCCAAAGGATACATGCCTCTGCCTTCGACGGTAAGCACTTAATCAGTTAAATTATACACTTAACTCTTTTGAAATTGCTACCCGCAGGTTAACGCGCATTATACTAATGCTCGTCGGAGCCGTGATGACTATTTACGTCTGTATATTATCCTCGGAGCGCTACTTCAAGTACTGGGTTCAGACCACAATCGATCGCACAGATGTTCACGTGTCAGAGATTGCCTTTCCAGCCATCACAATCTGTCCCACGCACTTAACTCTTCACAGTCTTAATAAGGCGGAACAAAGTAGCAGAGAGCAGCGGTTACATAGACTCTATAATCTAGTGCAGAGCATTCGTTGGCGCACCCCAGCAATCGACCAGGCCGCACACCTGGACTTTAACGAATTCGAAGAGTTTAATAACCAAACATTGCTCAATGTCGATAGCATCTTCAACTATGGTTACAGCTGCAAGGATCTATTTGTACAGTGCATGTGGCGACGCCGAGAGGTGGATTGCTGCAGCATGCTATTCAGAAACTTGAAGATCGGCTCCTGTTATGTATTCAACTCAATACTTGCGGAAGATCCCGATCCTACATGGCCCTGGTCAGTGGGCGATGCTGGTTTCAAAAGTGCCCTAAATATCAAGATCAATCGTTATATACATGACATTAGGCTGGAGGCCATTGGGGTAAGCATGATAACAAAGGATGCCAAAAATATGTATCTATGCATTTGTAAAAACCAACTAATATATGTATAACAGCCAGTTTATATTGTCATCAATAGGTAGATCGAACTCCGAACTCTCTGTTTATCAGAAAACCAGGGGGTCCGTATGACATACCAAAAAAGTATTGATAATGTAGCAGGACAATATGTAACATGCTTATCATACTAATCAGTCCCCAATTTTTTCCTCGACTCTGTTTTGTACTCGTACTTTCTGATACTCTTATTGTCATAAGTAGTTCTTAAACGCATCTACAGCTTAAGGTTTTTATTGCAATTATATGTCAAACACATAATTTATTAAACAATTATTTATTTATCTCCGATGCAGCAACTTTGCATCTATTTAAACATATCATAATAATAACAAAAGACAAGAGGTTAATGATCACCCTTTCAAGTACATAGCACATTAACGGTTTTTTACTCCACATAGCAGCAGAAATGGATTTGTCAGCACATATATATCATATTACATATTTATCCAATTTAATTTAGATTTCGTGAAGTTTTAGAAACGAAGTGAAATCCTTAACAAATAATTTTTACATACAAGAACTTCATTTATATCCTATGACAGCTTTATGATATAGTGGTCCGATCAGCTGATTCTAATATATATATATATATATATTCTGCCTGTAAGGTAAGGTACTGATCCACAAAATAAATGCTTTATGGGGCCGGAGACTTGTCCAACTTTGATTCCTCAATGCAAGTATAGTATAATAATAAATATAACAAGCTTTGATAATCCGTTCATTATGTCTGATAAAAGCAAAGTTTAAACCATTTTTTGCGACTGAACTAAGTATAAATCAGTTGTATTCAACAACAAAATTCTTCTATCCAAGGTCATCGTACAAGAACCAAGTCAGTATGTGGGCTCCAGTGTCACTTATTCCTCGGATGATCGCATTGTAGTCGCTCTCCAGCCGATACATTTTACAGCTGAGCCAGCCGTGAAGGCACGCCCAGTGCATATGCGTTATTGTTATTTTACGGAGGAGCTGATTAAATCGTATTCGCAATGCATAATCGAATGCCATCTACATTACATATCAAAGAAGTGTGAATGTAGCCATAGCCTTGTACCAGAGAGTATTGATCTGCTGACGGAGGAGCCGATCCACACATGCACAGTGGCCGATTTGCCGTGCATGCAAAAGCATGGAGGTAAACATCAAGGAGTACCTGTATTTTCAACATTGTAATTAAGACTAAATCAATATTTTTTCAAAAGTGTCGATATTTTACATGGGCAACATAATTGAGGAGTCCACAGACAATGTCTTTAACACTACCGATTGCAAGTGCTATCCCAAGTGCACTCATACACAGTATCATGCCGCCACATTCACGGATCGTCTGAGCAGCATGGAAAGCAAGAACAACTTTATAGAAGTTGACGTCTTCTTTCAGGAGGAGACACTTTTTTCCTACCGCTCCACACTGCACATAACAATGCTTGACTTGATGGGTAAGTTTTATTTTGGTTATCCAGTAGTTTTCACTCGCTGATTGCTTTTACTCTCTCACAGTTTCTTATGGTGGCATAGCAGGCTTGTTCCTGGGTCTTTCAGTGCTCGGGGCCATTAATAGCCTGTTGGATCGAATTCCTTATTGCAGCAAACCCATACAACAACCCATTAAACCTGATCGCGAGGTTCCCGAGGCTCACGTTTCTTTACCTGTAAGAAAAACACATGATTAAATTTAAGGAATAAAGGGATACAGATGAAATCAGTAAAAAAAAGTAAACACCTGGCTGCATTGTTATACAAAGGAACTCTTAAGATTCAAAATTTCAGCTACCTGCATCCGCAGTGGAAAATTTCCATGTGACTCGACTTCAACGAATATGAGTGCGCGTTTATATTCCACAAATTCAATTGATTGCTCTGGCGCAAATACCTTAAGAATCTTTGTGTAGCGCATTTTGTGCAGTTCAATAAAATTTGCTTTGTGTATGTATACGCCTGACCCGACAACAAGATTTCAATCGAAACCCTCATGGAGGATCGAATGCTCATCAAGCAGCTTTGGGTTTATCTGCAGGTCAACACAAGTACTTTGAACCTAATTTAATCACATCGCTGAAGAGAACTTACTTCAACAAAATACAAACCTTCTCTCATACATGTAAAGTATATTAACTACGACATCATGTTGGTTTTGCTTAAAATATTAAATAAAGTATATAAATTTCTCAAATGCTCTATTTTTATTTTTGTATAAACATTTGAAAATTAGCTTAGAGAGGCATTAGGAAGTTGGATTCAGCACTTTCGCCCATTTTCGGCAAAGAGTTCTGAATTTTCCGAGCAGTGTAAAATCCCACTAAAACAAATTTGAGCAAAGAACTTTAACTATAAATTTGAGGTCGAAAAGGCAGAGCAGTTGCATACACCACTTTTTGCACACCTCCGGGTGGAATTTGTTAACTTAATTCTATTTTCAGGTTCCAAGTTCTTACAGTTTGGGTGTGCATTCATCACCAATCTGTTAGTCAGGACAAGACGTTTTATATAGAAAGATGAACAAGTAAGCCTATACAGTCTTATAGTCTCCGAGATCGTCGCTTTCGTGAAGAAAGATGGACCATCTCCATCTGTGTATATGATATGGATACCAGCTTTGAACATATATAATTTATATGGTGAGCGATAGTTTCTTCTGTCGCTTAAACGGATTCATTATACCCATTTAAATATAGGTGCAGGGTATAATAGAGCAACTGTCCATAGATTTTATTTGACATTTCCAAAACAACCATAAACTAAAATCTTAGCTTACCAATTAAAAATGAGGATATTTAAATGTCGCATTGCCGTTAAAAAAAATCTCCCTTGTCATTTAACAGTAGGTAGCGAAACCCTAACGAGTACAATCATAGCAGACGGGTATAAATGGTTGTTCCGCCCGTCAACTGTGCACAGTCCAAGTTTGATCGTTGAGCCACGCACAAAAAGAATCAAAATGAAATTTCTCGTTGCCGCCTGTATGCTGTTCAGCTTGGTGAGTACTTTGGACAACTGATTTACCCATGCAAGTTTTAAGCAATCTTCTGTTTTTTAGGCCTCAGCCGAGTATGTCCTCAAGAATAAAGATAATATGCTGAGCTACCGCGCGGAGTGCGTCAAGGAACTGGATGTGCCAACTGAGCTCGTCGAGCAATATCAGAAATGGGTGTATCCCAACGATTCCAAGACACAGTGTTATCTGAAATGCGTGTTCACCAAATTCGGTCTCTTCGATGTCCAATCCGGCTTTAATGTAGAAAACATTCATACGCAGCTGTCACGCGGCGATGCGAACCACGACGATGAGCTGCATGGCAAGATAGCCGCCTGTTTGGATAAGAACGAGCAGGGTTCGAATGCCTGCGAATGGGCATGGCGCGGTGCCGACTGTCTTCTAAAAAATCATTTGCAGCTGGTGCAGCAGAGCCTGGCCCCCAAATCCTAAGTTACAACTAAGTACATTAAGCTTCTAACTAACCATCAATTTTCTAATTTCGTTAATAAAACTATAATTGACATATATAGCGTACTCCTTAGTCACTCCTACACAACCGTTATTGACCAGAATAAAGCTGTCAGCGCTTCATCGAACACTTCTCAGTTGCCATGTTGTACTCTAAGGAGCTTGTAGCGCCGCGACCCAAATCAAAGGCGGGTCTGCTCCACTTTAAATCTCATCCACTGCGGAAGAAATATGAGAGCATGTTGCGTCGCTCTTTTGCTCACTCGACAATTCACGGCATGCAGAATGCCTTTTTGGAGCAGCATCGTAGTGTGCGCTGCTTTTGGTTTATTATTGTGCTGTTGGGTACGATAAGCTTCCTTAGCATGTTCTCCATATTGCAGCACCAACACAATGAGCAGCAGCTGGTAAGCGTAGTGGAAACGACACAGTTACCGGTATATAATGTAGAGTTCCCGGCTGTTGCTATTTGTCCCTGGAATCATGTTAACTGGTTGCGCGCCTCAACGGCTGCGGACCGTTTTCTGCCCAGAAATGCTGATCCATATGTGCGCGAGTCCTTTCAGCAGCTGCTCATTGGCATGGAGCAGCTTACCTTTGGTGAGTTTCAGACACTTGGCGCGCTAGCTGAGCGAAACTTGTCTTCGCTCGCCCAACTGAGCCTCTCCAAGCTAGCCAGTTACTTGGCATACCGCTGCGACGAGCTCTTTGTGCCGAACTCGTGTGTCTTCGATGAAACCCACTACGACTGCTGCCAGTTGTTTGTGCAGGAGCGCACTGAAAAGGGTTTGTGCTTGGTATTCAACTCCCTGATTTCGGAAGACTCACGCAAGAAGAGGCTTATAAATGACTTTTATCCCTACAAACTTAGCACTGCCGGTGAAGGCTCCGGACTACAGTTCATGCTGCGCATGAACGACTCCTATTTGCGGGCGGGAACTCAGGTGCCCTTTTCTATGAATGTGGGTTGACAATTTAGCCATTTAAAATATCGCACAAGTTGCATTAATAATCATCTTTTGTATTTTAGCTAATGATCAAGGAGCCCAGGCAGTGGTCACACAGCATGGTCTACCATCTTTATTCAAACACTGAAAACTTCTTGTCCTTAGATCCGGTGGTTATACAAACGTCCACAAACACTTACGAAATGGATCCCGCCAAGCGGCGCTGCTATTTTCATGTATGTGCACAAATCAACACAAGCCAAAAAAATAATTTACTTACAATTTGATTATAGAACGAGCGTCATCCCTACTTTCCGTATACAAGTCTGCCCTACAGCCGTGCCAACTGCATTGCCACCTGCCTTCAGTGGTCCGTGCACCACCATTGCAAGTGCACCTTGCCTATACACTTACCAGCCATTGGTTAGTTAAAGATTGTTTTAAAACAAAGTTGATATAAGGACAGAACTTCCTTCCAGATGATACTCGCGAGTGCAACGTGCTGGACTTTCCATGCCTTTCTCGTCACACCGACGTCTTTGGCTACGTGAAGACGCGTGGCCAGGAAAAGTATATTAATGATTCCCGTCGTGGTCAGTTTTGCACGTGCCCAGATAGCTGCAACACACAGGTGTACCAAACATATCTGAATGTGCGCCAATTGATTAAGTAAGTTGGAGTCCACTGCTAGCTCATTTAAGCCTAATTCCTCGCCTATTCAACACCACAGCTCCAATACAACAAATGACACACTGCCACCAAGACGCATCAGAGCAGATATACATTACACCCAGCGTGTGTTAATGAAAATAGAAACTAAATTGAAGTACACCTTCCATGATTGGGTCGCTGGTTTTGGTGGCATTCTGGGTCTTTATGTGGGCGCCTCGGCACTGAGCTTTGCCGAGCTGGGCTACGCTGTTGGCCAACTTTTGTGGTCGCTGCTTAAGGATGTATTCGTTACGTTAAAATCAAAGATATAAGCAAAATGTATTTCATCATTAGATTAATAGTCAATAAAAAGGAAGCGCATTTATTTCTGCTTTGTTTCCTGGTCAGTCGGGTAACGTATATAAATAGCCGGATTTGGCACTGTGGCTGGCGTCTCTGTGAACTGGTCCAAGTAGGAACAGCCAATGGCGAGTGCACTTCCATCGGCACTGAAGTTAAGCGATGATATAGACGTGTCGTACTCGTGGAACTGGCACAGACGCTTCTTATTGAAACCATCCCAAATGTTGACAATGCAATCGGAGCCTCCAGTTGCGAATGTGTGATAAATGTTATGAAAACTGACTGCGTTAACCGGATATATCTGCTCAATGTTATGATCTCTGTTGCGATGGCATTTAAATGCAAATTTCCGGCGCTGTACTTCAGGATCATGGTCAAGGTATTCAACGGCCACACGGCCTTCAATGGAGGACATCACATAGCCTTCCTTGTTGGGGAACAAGCGAATACAGCGCGTTTGATACTTCAGCGACGATTCGCGCTTCATAATGTAACTATCCGTCTTTCGCAGGTCCCAAATTAATACCTTGCGATCAGATGTGGCCACCACAATTTTCTCGTCAATGACGGACATGGAGTAAACCTTGCCATTGTTCTGTTCAAAGGAGCCCACACAGCGCTTCTCGCGCATGTCCCACAGCTTGACTGTCTTGTCCCAGCTGCCGGTCAGTATGCCATTGACATATTCGGCATGCTCCACGCAGCGTATAGGTTCATCGTGGGCACCTACCAGAGTTTCAGCTTGTGTATTCACATCGTACATACGCAGTTGATTATCCAGTCCACCACTCACCACGTGCACAATATTCTGTTACGAAAATAATATGTTAGCGCTGTGTGTTTGGGTATATATATATATGTATGACAAACCATGAAGGCGCAATCCAATATAGGCGCATCCTGTACAAATTTTTGGCGCATTGAGTTTGCCGCCACATCGTAGAAGCGAAGCGTCCCGTCCCACGATGAAGCTGCCATATACTGATTCGACTTGGAACCGAATTTCACTGCCGATATTAGGTCCTCGGGCGGATTGTTTAATTTAAACTCTGAAGGGCCCATTTTCAATTTTTGTTTGGTTTAATCAATTTTAACAAATAACAAATTACAATTCCCGGTCGCTTGGAAAAAGCGGTAATAAAAAGTGCCAGAAAACGCCAAAATAAACACGTAAAATGGTCACCCTATTTAGTCGCAGGCAGCTCGTTAAGTGAAGTGCTACAAAACACTGATAGCTATGAAACTGTGCTGCGTACAACAAAAACGAGTCTGTTAAATTCGAAACCGTTTTTAAATGGGTATTTATTTCCAACGAACATTTACTATCACAACTAAATGGCATTAATTTTACACTATTACACTAATATTTTGGAAGTACATATTTTGGTGGTTGCGTTATGGACATTAATTGAGCAATTAGCTGCATTATTTGTTTTTATTCCTACAGGGCGGCGATGGTCCATCATCGGCAGTGCTCAACGCAATGGCAAACTGGGCAGCATAATAGGTTATCATAATTTGCAGCCGTGGTGATGGCAGTTGTACGCTCAGGAACATGGTCACGGCAATAAGCGCATCGGATATAACAAACAGAACAGCGCCGACAGCACAGAAGATTGCCAGGAACCTTTTTACCTCCACAGCCCGAGCCAAGGAGCGCCACAACATGGTGGTAATTAGCACACAATAAATGGGCACGCCGACTATTAGTATCTCATCCAAGTGCTTGTGCACTAAGATGACAACTGCAATGCACAAATATAATAATTATGAAAAAAATTGAAAAGTGATTACTTTCAGAATATGTGCTTACAAACTGTTACCGGCACATAAAGACATACTCCAATAACCCACTTGAGTGGATGCCAGCCGAAAGCGCTAATGTAGAAGATATGCGCCACGCCAAAGGAGACCATGCCAAAGGGAAATAAATTAACATTGAGCAAGGCATCACCGCCGCAGGAAAACACTAAGCCGAGTAAAATCAATTGAGAACGGCGGAAGCTTAAATTTACAAAGAATTACAATAAAAAAAAACTATATAATACAAAGCAAGATAAGTGCAAGCTTACTGCTTATTGAGCGAAAATCCTTTGGCCAAAACATAAAACATCAATGCCACAATGGGCAAGCACTTCAGCACAGTTGTCCATACTTCCCCCTCTGGATCTTTACGCACCAGCGAAAAATAAAGCGCCAAACTTATAAAAAACGGTGTTAGCTTCAGGGCTTGAACTCTGGCCTTTAAGATAAGTATTAAACAAAAAGATTAGTCGATTACCGTTAATCAGCACTCAAACACTTGTGCGGCCAAAAATATGCAAGAAGCGATAAGCCTTGTACAATTGCCACTACCAATTTGGTAGCACTATTATAGGCGATTAGATTAATAGGTTAGCAGCATTCATGTTATAAATTTGCATAATATAATGTTTGCAAATGAAAAAAACTTTTACTTTCTATGTGTGAGCTTTCAATAGCAACACACTCAGAGCTAGGCATAGAGAGGGAGAGGAACAGGGAGAGCGTCGCAGAGCACAAGAGATGTAGAGGCAAGGTCAAGGACAGAAGCTCCACATTCTTTTTTACTTTTTTTTGCCGTTAGATAAAGCATCCACTGTGCACAAGGTGTCGAGCTCACAAATACGCTCACGCACGCACACACACACACACACACACTCACGCAAAAAAAACGTAAATTTACCGTATACATAAAAATAAACTAAATTAGCAGCACGGCTAATGGAGCGAGCAGAAAGGCAAGCAAAGCAATGCAATTCCAGCGCCAGAATATCGCATTGCTCTGTATTAGTGTGCATGTATGTATGGATGTACATATGTTGAACAGACAGCCGACTTCTAATTTAAAATTAAAATTGACTGCTGCAATTACTTACGAACTGCATTGTGTATCTCATAATTGGCGCTCAGCCCGTCAGTTCTACCGTGCTTCCACAGAAGTAAATATTATTGCAAACACTCAAGCAAGGTGACGATTCGCACGATGAAACAGTTATGCCCCCCAAAAACAATAGCTCAACCGGCACAGGCAAACACGTTGCGCAGTTTTGACCAACGTCAATATACTGAATCAAAGCGTATAATTTTCCCGTTGGCTGCGTCGCTTGCTGGACGCTAGTCCGGCTCCGACATTGATTGCGTTCGCCCGCCGCTCTGTGTGTGAGTACGAATGCAGAGAGTACGCGCTGTGAGCGCCGGTAGGCCACGTGCAGCATAAGCAGCATTCTGCCAGATACACAAACAACTGTAGGCAAGCTAATTGTTATTGCTGTCCACCTCAAATTTCATGAACCGCTGCAGAGCGAAAAAGCGTCAAAGGCAAGCCAGCCAACGAATAAAAGAGAGAGAGAGAAAGACTGAGTATGCACGGCAGAGAGAGCTGGGCAAAAATATAACAGCGTATGTGCTTTTTGCTCACGCAACAGGTTAATTAGTCGAAAAGTGCGCTACAGCGCGCGGCATATGAGCCGCAAATAAAGCTTCACCAATAGCAAAATTCACAGTTAGAAAAAGTCATGCGCAAAGTCACTTAAGTCAAACTTGCTTGCGGTAGCGGTAGCGTGCTGTCCCTCTCACTCACACCCTAGCTGATAACAATTTCAAAACAATGCAACAATTTCTGCACACTTTCACTGCACTAGACAAGCTTAAAGCTCCAGTAAACGTTGGCACAAGCTTTTTCTGTGTAGTTTGGGCCGAAGCTTATTCTGTATTAAGTTTTGGCATTTTTCAGGCGAGCGAAAAACTCTGAGGTTGTTTCGGAAAATTTTAACAAAACTCAAAAACAACATAGATAAAATTATTGCAAATTACATAAAAATTGTGAACACATTTAAACTAGCTTATCAAGCACAGCAGGTAAGGCACAAAACAATCATTAGAGCCAACGCAAGAGTTGTTGCCCAGTGCTCGGAAAATTGTGTATCCATTGAAATGGGGTGTCCTGCATACTGGACACATTTTAAATACTCAGATGGGTAAAACTGTATTTTCGGTATCCTAATTATTTTTTAGTTAGGCTTGCGCCCCTTCAAAGTATGCAATTAAAGTACTAACACTAAAAAAGAAGTATGCAATGATTCCTAATATTTAGTGCTAAACATGGTTCTAGTGAGTTTTTAATAACTTTTCACGTCCTTTTTATTTGAAATTTATAGCTTCTCCTGCGAAGTAGATTTCATTTAATGTGTGTGTATTTGTACTTGCTGCAATAAATAAAAGCGTAGGGTGGTGAAGTGGGCGGCACAAATTATACCAGACATCCGGCCCATACATATGCAATTAAATGTAATAAATTAAACAAAAATTGCATTTTAATGAGGTTCCCATAATGAAAGTAAGTGTGAGCCTTGGCACACGCTGATTATATTCACAATCGACCTCTAGAAACGTAGACGAGACAAGAACAGTCAGTGTGAAGGGAAATCCTGCAGCCACTCAAGACGGCTGCACGACCAGCGCATTAGGAGGGATGAATAGAAGCCACGGTTTTCTGGGCCAGTGGGTGGCACACGTACAAAGACAACAAAAGGCAGACATGCGGCTGCACATATGTACACACATACCTAAGTGCACGCTGAACTTGAGCAGCTTTTTCACATAATTCAACGCTGACATCATGAACAGGCTGATATGATGAACTCTGTGTGGACACATAGATATACTTATACAAAATAATATGTCTAGACCTACAAGTTGTGGTGACATACTTTCAATAACATTAGAAGGTCCTGATCATAGCTAATTAAAATCGAACTATTAATACTTCAAACAGGTTTGACCGACACTCAATTCATCATATTCAGAGATATCTATCAGTAGTAGTCGCACGCAGTATGGCGTGTCCTTTCTTTCGTCGCGCCGACTCACTGGCACGCCAACCATCGGTCACTGTGGAGCCGGGCGCTCATTGGAATTTAGAAGATGAGGAGCTGTCTCTCGCAGGTGACGCCTTGACTCTGACCCATCTGCAGATGGCCATACAGCTGCTGACAGCGCCATCCAATGAGGATCTCAATACAGCTGTCACCTCACTGGTGGCCAAATATCGCCAGAGCTGGCCCAACATTCATAAGCTGTAAGTAGCAAAACAATCGGCAACTTTACTTTTAAGCTTAGTGCAAACCCTTAACCCTCAGTAAAATGGATCCCAAGTTCTTTAAGAGCTGCGCCAACTACGATTATCTGGCAGATATACAAGAGTTGCTCTTGAAGATGGACGAGGCCAGTGCTAGTGAAATTCTTGTGCTGCTGGGCGAGGAGCTGATCACGTGCTGCTGCACTGGCATTATCGAGCGAGCCTTTCGCTGCCTGGGCACCGATCTCCAAGAGTTTTTGGGCTCGCTGGACGGGGTATACGATGTACTGAAGTTGCAGGAGGTTAGTAAATATTGCAATAAGATGACTTGAAACTTCCTCAATCCTATTCCGTACCTATCCAGGCTGACGTCACCGATACGGGCTTTGTATGTGCGGGGGACGGTGAGTTAATCTTCACCTCGGAGCGTCCGGTGATAGCATGGCTGCTGCTTGGGTCCCTCAAGGCACTTACTCGCATGCTGTACAAGGTGGATGTGAATATTAAAATTGAACCAGTGGAGGGTGATGCACGTCGCTACCGTTACTTGTTCTCTCTAGTCAAAGACAGCTCCCAGACACTACAAATGAGTCGACCGGACGTGGCTACGAAACCGCATGAGACAGTGCAGCGCAGCAACTCGGCCAATGCTTCGGATCTACAAATGAATTCGGCCAGCTTCTGCAAGATGTTCCCCTGGCATTTCATCATTAACGAACAACTGGAGCTGGTGCAGCTGGGGCGCGGATTTAGCAAGCTCTATAAGCCGTATTTGGCTGACTTTGGCTGTCAGGCCAACACCTACTTTGATTTTAAGCGCCCCAAGGGCTTGACCATGAAATTTCGAGATATTGTGCGACGCACCTACACGCCCTTTCTAATTGGTCTCAACAGCCCTCCGGGAGTATCAGACTTTCCCGCCATTGGCTTGGAGATTAAGGGTCAAATGGTGCACTGCCCGGAATCGAATTCACTGCTGTTCATTGGCTCGCCCTTTTTGGATGGTTTGGACGGTCTTACCTGTAACGGACTTTTCATCTCTGACATTCCCTTGCACGATGCTACGCGTGAGGTGATATTAGTAGGTGAGCAGGCACGTGCTCAGGATGGCCTACGTCGTCGCATGGATAAGTTGAAGAGCAGCATTGAGGAGGCGAACTCGGCGGTGACCAAGGAACGTAAGAAGAACGTCAGCCTCTTGCATTTGATCTTTCCGGCTGAGATTGCTGAGAAATTATGGCTGGGCTCTTCAATAGATGCCAAGACCTATCCGGATGTGACTATACTTTTCAGCGATATTGTTGGCTTTACCAGTATTTGCTCCCGGGCCACACCATTTATGGTCATCAGCATGCTAGAAGGCTTGTATAAGGACTTCGATGAATTCTGCGACTTCTTTGACGTGTACAAGGTGGAAACCATTGGAGACGCGTATTGTGTGGCCAGCGGATTGCATCGGGCCTCCATCTACGATGCTCACAAGGTGGCCTGGATGGCGCTGAAGATGCTTAGCGCTTGCTCCAAGCACATAACACACGATGGTGAGCAAATCAAAATGCGGATCGGCCTGCACACTGGCACGGTGCTCGCAGGCGTAGTGGGTCGCAAAATGCCCAGATACTGTTTGTTTGGACACAACGTAACCATTGCGAACAAGTTCGAGTCGGGCAGCGAGGCATTGAAGATTAATGTGAGCCCCACAACCAAAGAGTAAGCTTTTGTTCGAGCAGATTGGAAAAACCATTAATTTGTTAACTAATCTTTCAGTTGGCTAACCAAACACGAAGGCTTTGCCTTTGATCTCCAGCCACGCGATCCTTCCTTCCTACCAAAGGAGTTTCCCAATTCGAATGGTAATGGCACCTGCTATTTCCTGGAGGGCTTTCGCAACCCGGCGCTGGACAGCAGCCTGCCGCTAGACGAGCATATTAATGCTGCTATGAAGACCATATCCGAGGGCGGCGATGCCTAAGCATCTTAGAGAATCAATTGCTCAGTAGCCACTTAAACATAGTTCAATGCACATGTAGCCTAATTTTGTTGCACTCTTGCATAGCCTTTAACAATAAATAAACTTTCCGTCAATGTTTGCGTTCAAGCACAAAAGACACATTTATTGAACTTAAGCCTTTGCCGCTGCCTCTGCCTGCTTGGCCTTGATGAAGTCCTTCACTCTTTCGCCGATCTTGCTGGCCATCAAGCACTTGTGCCCGCGGAATGCCCACACGTCCGCTGGGCTTTTCTCCACATTGCTGTCAGTACAGCTCTGTGCAATTTGCAGCGCATCCTCCTCGGTGAGATTCATCTTGAACTGTTTGGCTAGACGATCCGCATGGTAGCCTTGGTGTGTGCAGAAGATATCCAGCTTTGTGGCAGTGCATAACAGATACTGGCGAACCTCGGACTCGTCTGGGAACTCCAACTGCTTCAGCTTGTTGATTTGGTCGGCATTCAGCGGATGCGCCTTCAGGCATTCAGCGCGAATCTCTTTGATTTGATCACCAGTTTTGGGCACCCATTCTCCATCAGCATAAGCCTGTGTTTGCGAAAATATAAAATATATAATAGCTGCAATTAGATCTATTGCCACTCCTTACTGACCAATGTGCAAAGCGCCAGGCAAACGATCAGATACTTCAACATGTTCAATACTTTCAAGTCGCAGAAAATGATTAAAACTGAATGGTCTACGGTTGTGTTGCCTATATTTATAGCTGTTTCTCGTCGCAGCGCATAGTCCAGATTTTATGTTCGACAGCTTGAAATGTGTCAAGAGTTCAGCGATAAGCAATACAGCCAGACCGTAACTACACATTTTTTTCAAAAACATCTGAAAGCACTTAAATGTAGTTTATTTTTTTGCATTTCCAATAGTTGATAAGTTTGTTCCACAGTTTTAACATTGCGGCATGCAACGGGATCAATAACTTAAGAACATTAGTTGTTTAAAGCTTATGTTCCATTTGGGAATTTTATCAGTAAACAATAAGAATATATACTATGCGCGTATTATCAGCAAACCATTAGTGGCCTATTCCAGTCCGTTCTACATCAGCGACTAGTGTTTGATAGACCCCCTTATAATCACAAATTCCGGACTGACCTCGCCCTTGCCAGCTAATCAACCCCACAGAGATGTATGTATGAATGTCTTTACAAACAACTGATACTTGTTGTTGTTTTTAAAAGACATGTTTAGTATTTAAATCAACATAATACTATTGCTACCTTACACTATTGTAATGCAATAAGGCATACACAGTTTGTTAATTACGCGCACAAAGAAAATTCAAGTTATTTCGATCAAGCTTTCTTATAACATTTATAAATGATTCTTTTTGTTTACTTTTATTATTTTGCTTGTGCATGACATCCATAACTATCTTAACATTGTTAACTAATTTTTTAGTTTTATATTAATACCGATTATTTTGAAAATTTTCTCTAATAATCGTCAATATTGAGCTGGGGTTTAATTAACCGCCTAATTATGTACAATCTAATCCTATAAAATATTAGCGTTATAACCTTGAATCTCAACATAGTCGATAATTTGCCGCCCAAAATTAGATGTTCACCATAATTATAATTTCGATAGGAAATGCAAGCCCAACACATTCGATGGGTAATGTTAAGCAACAGCTGTTCAGCCATTGCTCGTTATCGTTTATTAGAGAAATTTTGAGCAAAATATCAGTTATAAGGTTAAATTTCCCTTTTTAGCTCAAAAATGAATCCATCTTAAAGAAGAGTTTTGTTAAGACTGTTTGCACCTCTGAATTTTTCGTTTCTTTTCTAAACAGATAAATATATAACGGCCACTTTCAAAAAACAAATCTGTGCGCACTGTAACATAACAGTTTAACAGATGCTCATTTTTTTGGGTGGCCACAGCTGTAATTGCAGATAACAGTGTTGGGTAAAAAGAGAATAGTCCCATAATAAGAAATTTTCGACAGGAAAAGACCCGTGGAAACGCAAATAGTTGTTAGGTATACATTTCGTTAACTGTTACCCTAAAGTTAGCAATGTGAAGAAATCATTGTTAGTGCTGGTTTGACAGTTGAGTTTATGACAGCGAACCGCTGTTTAAGCTAGCGCACATCGATTTTTTCCATTCGAAGCGAGTGCAAATGTGGATCCATCTTTTGTCTCATCCCATAAAAAACACACAGTTGCAATACTGAAAGATAGGGTATAAGAAGCCACACGAAAATGACAAAAACCGACCACGTTGCCCTAACACTATCCTCAACATCCATAGCGAGCATAACATGTGGCGCTGGAGGCGATGAGGGTAACCTTTCCCGCAAAAGTTTGCGACGGGTAAGTTTGAACACGTATATATTCCAAAAATAGGCATGTATTAGATAAATAATTTAGACAAGTTAATTGCCAATCACTAGGTATTATAGATTACGTGTCTCATATTAATTTGTTTTGCTTTACTTAAAATTGCAGTCATGGAATCAATTGCCCCGTTGTCAACGTAATCTCATTATAATGGCCATCACAGCATTTCTCTTTACCGCGTTACTCTTTTTGCCCGGTGATCAGCTAATAAATATAAAGGATGTGCATCTAAAGCCCGGAGCAGCACCTTTTCATATACGACGTGAAAATACGTTACAGAATCCGCATCACCATCCTAATCTCGACAAGGACAACAAATTATACGATGATATTCCTGCCGCTGTGGCGTCTCCAATGACAGATGGGAGCCGCCTGATTAAAATAAAGCCGGCAAAAGACAAGGTAGGTCAACAAGTCTGATATCAGTTAAGCAATTATGTTTTTAAGTACTTTATCAGCTGTGAAAGCTTTTTATCAATAAATGAACTTTTGTTTTCCAATACACACAACCGAGCATGTTAGGGGCGCGGCCCACTTGAGATATCATAAGAGCAGCTCCGCTGAGGCTGATAACAATGACAATCAGTACTTTTACGATTATGTGCTTTGATTTATTGACAACCGGTATTTTAAAGAGAATATTTGTGTTTGTTTGCAGTTGGATAGCAATGTGGCCTATGCCGATGGCAATAACGCGGAACAAGTTGTTAATCTTCCGGAAACGGCGGCCGCTATCAATGATAATAACAATGGGCGAATCGATATAGTGAACAATATAGACCAGCCCAGTAAAGAGCTGTCATCATTGGCTATCAGCGACCCGTTGAACATTCGCACAGAGCTAGAGGAGGCTATTCGGCAACCCTTCAAATTGGCAGGTGTCAGCATTGAATCGCATCTGCAGAATATGGAAACAGAGTTGGCAAAAGGGCAGCATTTCCATGGCGCTACCAATGAGCGGCAGACTGCGGTTGTAGCGGCTTTTAAGCACTCTTGGGCTGGTTACAAGACTTACGCCTGGGGTCATGATAATCTAAAACCGGTTTCCCAAAGCTCACACGAGTGGTTTGGTTTGGGGTTGTCAATTGTGGACTCTCTGGACACAATGTACATCATGGGCTTGGAAGATGGTAAGCATAAAGCATATTTGTTGTTGAATTACTAATACTAACTGCTTATTCTTTTGCAGAATTCAATGAGGCACGTGATTGGGTCAAAAATTCTCTGCACTTTCACACGAATCGTGATGTGAATCTCTTCGAGGTCACCATACGTGTCCTGGGCGGACTGCTGTCTGCTTACCATCTGAGCGGCGACAAGATGTTTTTGATCAAAGCGGCTGAACTGGGCAATCGCTTGTTACCCAGTTTTCTTTCGCCATCGGGCATACCGTATTCAGATGTAAATCTAGGCGAAAGGTCTGCACATTCGCCAAAATGGTCTCCGGATAGTTCAACCAGCGAAGTAACGACCATACAGTTGGAGTTTCGGGATCTCAGCCGCTCCACTAATGTACCTATTTTTGAGCGTGTAAGTTATATTCAGTTACGTGCCTACAGTTAAATTTATTAATGTTAACATTGTCTTCCTGGTAGGTGGTAAACGTAGTTAACGATAAAATACATGCGCTGGATAAAAGTCATGGCCTGGTGCCAATATTTATCAATGCAAACACAGGAACCTTTAGGAATTATGCAACCATTTCCCTGGGTGCTCGTGGAGATTCCTATTATGAGTACTTACTTAAGCAATGGGTGCAAACAGGTCGCAAAGATAACGACAAGTGAGTAAGCAACAACGATAAAGCTATGCATATTTATTAATATACGTCATTCATCTTTATTAGTCTTATTCTGGACTATATGCAAGCAATAGATGGCGTCCTCACGCAATTGATGAGACGCACGCCACGAGAGCATTGGGTTTATATTGGGGAACTGATAAATGGTCACGATTTTAAACCAAAAATGGATCATTTAACTTGCTATTTGCCTGGTACACTCTTGCTGGGCCATGAGAATGGCATGCCCGACTCACATCTACTGCTTGCCAAGGATTTGTTGGACACCTGCTATCAGACCTACATTAGACAGCCCACTCAATTGGCAGCTGAGATTTCGTACTTTGCGCTAAATGATAAGGATGACAGTGACATCTATGTGAAACCCAATGATGCTCACAATTTGCTACGACCCGAGTTCATTGAGAGTCTATATTATTTCTATGCACTTACCGGCAACCGCACTTATCAGGATATGGGCTGGATAATTTTCCAGGCTTTTGAGAAGCATTCAAAGGTAGCTGCCGGCTACACGTCTCTGGGCAATGTGAAAAATACGTTAAACACACGAATGCGCGATCTCATGGAAAGCTTTTGGATGAGCGAAACTTTAAAATACTTTTATTTGCTATTTAGTGACAATCGCAAGGAGATAGACCTAGAAAAATGGGTCTTTAACTCCGAGGGTCATCCACTGCCCGTGTACCAACATTAATTGTAAATACGCAACCGAATTGCTTCATCAATACCAACTAAGATAGTTTATAAGGTTAGTTGAACCCCAGGAAGTGTGGAAATTTGGCGGTACCCCTTAGTCGTAGCTTAGCACAAATGCCAAATACAACGCCAAGCTTTGGATGCAAAATATATAAGTTCACTTGGCCAAAAAATGAATAAGAATCAAAAATATGCAAAAAAAAAGCATGTCAATGATTTGTATGATATTCGTACTGATTTTAGCACATTATTATTATTATTATTTATTTATTTACTAATTATAAGTACCGAAAACATGTTGCACCCAAAACTCTAGTACTCTAACTGCCGCAATGTTGATAATTATAATTAGGAATAATATCGTATATAACATATAGCAATATATAACTGGTAGGTACTTAGTACATGTGTATGTAATTTGCAATATGATATTGAATTTGTAAAACCAAGCACAATGCATTGTTTAGTAAATTAAACATTTAGCCTGTTTTTAAAATAAAGAAATATATAAAAAGTCTATTGATAGTATTGAAAATTGTAATATTGGATAAGGGGAAGTGAAGGATTATATGTTTGTTCACAGATACTGAGCTGAAAATTGTAATCAATCAGAAAGTCGCCTCTATAAAATGTCAGATAATAAAAGACGCATATTTAAAATTGTCTGAATTTTGTTTATTCTTATGAATACGTATTTTTCAATTTTTTTTGCCTTCGATTTGCACTTGCACCCAACAACATGCATTAGATTTGATTGCATTTTTATGGGTTTTGGTTTGTTTGTTAAAGTTTTGTTTCAGTTTCAATTCGGTTTCTTGTTATTTGTTGCGTTTATTTTTTTAATACGATTATGTACTTAATGTTTATGACGACTATGAATGGATGGGCTTAATAAACTATGAAATATTAAACTTGCTTGATTTCTCTTTTAAGTTGATACTGTAATTAAAACTCACAATGTTGCATTAAAAATCTTTGCTTTGTATTTTTTTTTTTTTTTTTTTTTGTTTTGTTTCATTAAATTACATTTAGACACATTTAGCTGAACCATTTTTTATACGATATTGAGTTTTTCTTTTTTTTTTGTTTTTTTTTTTTTGGTTTTAGGGAGAGGTTCTGTTGAAGCCGATTTGGAGTAACCGCTTAGTTTAGAATACAAATTGAAACGATGCGTATATAAGTTATAAATGATACAATTTAATTAATAATTAATTGAATTGGGCTCCTAGCGAGTGATAAGTTCTGTTTGCATTTGTTTTCACCGGCAGCTATATTATCGAATGCAATTTTTCTTGACTAACTTAACTTTTAGCTATTACATATAAATTTTTATACAATTGTTTCATTATTTGTCTTTGTTTAACAACTAGAAAGTGTTGCGTGCGCATCTGTTTCATAAATCAATACAGATAATAGGGCTTGAGTAAGTCGGGATCTAAACCAATTAAACTCGATATAGTAATACATACAGTTTGAATGGTACCGGTACCACTCAATCATTCACTTACAAGCTACGTGTCTTACGAGTACATCGTAATTTAGTCACATTCCATACCAAAGAGTACTAGGTTTTGTAGTAGCTGTTTATGATTTCTTTTTTGCTGTTGGGGTGGAGTTATTTAAAGTAGTAGTATTTATTGTAACTGGTTTGCAATAATATGTGATACGCACGACTGATTACTCAAGTCAAACATTTTCTGTTTTGTGGTGTGAATCTAATGCGCGGCTTCCTAACATTTACATTATTTGGATTAAGTTCGTAGTTGTTGTTGCTTACGGTTTATGGATTCATGTATCTGTTCTAAGTTGTGTTACAAGCTAATCAGACATCGATATTTAAAACGTGGCACAAATCACAAATCAGATTTGTGGCAAGATGAAGATCAAGATACAGTGATACGATTCGTTTACAAATTTTTTTGTTTGTATTGTTTTTTGTTTTGTTATTGCAAGTACAATTTACACACAACTCTATGCATTTATAAGTATATCATTTACAATTCATAAATGATTTAAACTAAATTTGCTAAAATTGTGATTTTTGCTTTTGAACTGCTTTTGGTTTGCTTCGTCGTTCGTCGTCATCTGTCGGAGTCGTTTGACTCTTGAAACTCCCTAAGACATATTTTCTTTGATGATGTCACCCGTAGTCAAAGCCAAGGTGGCGCTTGGCTAACAGCTTTCTAATTAATATTGAGCACATTAGTTATTCGAATTATTTACGCATACATGTGTATATTTTTCTCAGTGTGTTTTGTTTGTTAGCTCAAAAGCAGACAGACGTTAAGCGTTTTTTAAATTATATTAATTTAAATTGCTTAGATTGAATTTATTAAATTATTTTTGTTTACTTTACGTATTTTTGCATGCTTTTTTATTCACATTTATACACTAAGAGCAAATCCTTTAATTTGTATTAAAAACTGCGATTGTTGAACTGACGCATGCTTCACATTACATATATATTTATATATATATATATATATATATATATATGAATAATGCTTAATAATAAATAATTTAATGTATATGTGTTCAATTTTTTTGTATTGTATATCGACTTTTGTTGTTGTATTGCATTTGTTCTCATTTCAACAAAATTGGCAACGTAGTTACAATTGTTTTGCATAATTCTAATTACGAATTTTGAATGCTCTCTCGACTGGCATATTCCTCCCAACCAACTTAATTGTGAATAGCACAACCAATCGCGTGAAATAATTTAGTCGCGAAATGCGGCACACTTGATAGATACGCGCTTTGGCCCATCTGTGTTATATATTTTTGAACATAACGTATTTTTGCTCTCCGTTTTGGAGCTGTAACTTGGCATTGGAACTTATTAGATCAGATCACGTGTACGAAAAGCTTTATATTAAAAGTCTCTATCAACAATTCAGTAAAAAGGTTCGGACAATTTAAGTGTAAATTGGCTTTACAAACAATACTGTTTTGTTCGTCGGCAAGCGTATTTACTAATCTTCGGCAGGCCAAAGCAATTTCGGTTTATACTTTTTTAGGTTTCTTTGATTGGTTTACGTTCCTTTTCACTCTTTCATAGTTAAGATATAATTTTAATAAATTGTCTAGGCATTTTTCACTTATTTATTGTAGCTATATAATTTGTATTACATTAGAATTCATTCAGTTTACTTCTCTAAGAAGCATTTCATGCTATTCGTCGTTTTGTTTTCAATTCTCTGCGTTAATTGCTTTTCACTATTGACTTTTAAGGACCTGCTGTCCCTTAATAATGCATTCGATTGTGTGACTATAAATTTATACAAATAATTACCAGGCTGTTTTGTCATTATCTTTTAGTTTTTAAATATTGTACAAACACATTGGACTAAAAACGAAAACAAGAATTAATACAATTTATACTACACATTCAACTTAGATCTAAAATGAAAATAAAAATTGTACAGAGCAGGATGCTAAAATGTGTCAACTGTTGCCAAATGCATTTAGCACAGTGGACAACAACTAAAGAGAACAAATAACATGCAAAAGGGGGGGCTTAATATACAATCAATGTGTCATTGCCTTAGGCAGTCCTTTACAAGGTGGTCGCGTTGAATTCCAGTATAAGACTGTTGGCTACTGTTGCCGTTGCCGCCGGCGGCAGCTCAGCAGTTATATTTTGTGCCGCTCCAGTTACTGTTGTTGTGGATGTATGCAGCCCAAGTCAAGAGGTCATAATCGACTTGACGGCATCATCTAGGCCAGCGGCCACACAGCTAAAGTCATTTAGCTGCGCATGATGCTGAGGCTGTGCCTGCGACAAGCCATGATGGAGTTGCGCATGATGCTGCAGATGTGGCTGTTGCTGACCCAGATGACCCTGCAGTAGCTGCTGCTGCTGCTGCTGCTGTTGTTGCTGCTGCTGTTGTTGATGATGATGATGGTGATGATGATCGAGCAAAAGGTTGCCGCTGGCATCAGCTACAGCACTAACAGCTGGTCCGGCACCACCACTAATTAGACAATCGCCCATATCCTCCCCCAGCTGACGGCGCCTATTGTTCACCTGCTCCTGCTGGCAGCTGGGCAAATTGGCTGCTTGTCGCTGATCGTCCAGTATACTGTCGCCCAGAAAGGAGCCCAATGAGAACTGCAACGAATCACCGCTGTTCTGCAGGTTCAGTATGCTGTCTATGGCACTAGCCACATGCCGACTGATATCGTCGTCGTACTCGCCAGTCACCACTGAATTGGCGCCCATGTGATTTACATGTAACTGCGTCTGCTGTGGCTGCTGGAGCTGTTGTTGCATACTGTGCTGGTAATGTTGATGCTGCTGTTGTTGCTGCTGCTGCTGCTGTTGCTGTTGCTGCTGTGGATCTAACAAGTTCGCGAAAGCCTGATGATTGGCAAAGCTATGTTGCTGCTGTTGTTGTTGTTGCTGCTGCTGCTGTTGTTGCTGCTGATGTTGCTCCTCCATTAGCAATTGCGAAAAGGCAGCGGGCCCGTTAGTGGTCACGCCGTCCACACCCATGCCATCGTGCAGCGCTAACATTTCAGCATCTAGCATGGCATGTTGCGGCACCTGCACATGCTGCTGCGACGACATGGGCGACGAGGACGTTGACGAAGCCGTGCACAAGCGCTTGCTGCTGTTTTCATCCTCCAAGTCGCTGCTCGAGCCCATCAACTGGCCATTCCAATGGCGCTTGCGTGTCTCCCCATTGACCAGCATGTTGTGGGCTTGGCCATCAACTGTGCTGGTGTTACTGGACATATAGTCGCTGTAGTGGGCCTCCATGCTTTGCATCCAACGCGGGTTATTGTTGCAGTTGAGCTCAATGTGGTGCTGTTGCTGCTGTGATTGCTGCTGTGGTTGTTGTTGGTGTGCGTACGTCTGTTGCTGCTGTTCGGTGCTGTAACCGGCGCTGAATCCAGCATCTGCCGCCCAAATATTCAGCTTGTTCTTGTGGCTCGCTGTTGGCGATTTTGCATCGCCAAATATCTCATCCAGATTTGATTCAATGTCGTGCGCGTCGCTGCTATTCTTCACATCCAAATCTACCGGCGACTCACCGAACATAGCCTCCAGGCGCGTCTCCACTGACTTTTGTACATCCGAATCGCTGCTAAAGAACTCACTGATGGCCGGATGATGATTCGGTTGATCTGCTTGCATAGCCAACGGCTGTTGACGCTGCTGGCTGCATGAGGAACTGCCTATAGGCACGTTGTTGTTGCCGGCGTGACTGCTGTTGCCGCCAACATCACCGCCACAACTGCTGCTACTACTGTTGCTGCTGCTATTGCTATTGCTCTGATTGCTCTTGTCAATGCAGCCATTGGGAAAGAGATCGGACAGATGATTGCCATTGCTCAACAGGCTGCCGGCGTTGTTATCATACAGATGTTGCTGTGACAAGTGTTGCTGATGCGGAGCATGTTGCAGTGCTGCATTTTGTTGCTGCTGTGACTGCAATGCCTCATTGCTCATCAGATTAAGCTCTTTTTGAAGACAATACCAGCCATCCTCATGATCTTCATGGCCGATGTTATTACTTTTAACATGTTGTTGTAGCTGCTGCTGCTGCTGCTGCTGTGGATGTGGATGTTGTTGCTCCTGTTGCTGTTGTTGCTCCTCTTGCAATACATTGTCGGCGTAACAGTTCTCAGCATTCTTTACACCAGTTGTCTGCATTTTTTGCTCCACTTTCTTCATAATAAAACTGGGCGTCAGCTCCGATTCGATATCAAAGTTGTCGTAGTCCTTTTTTATATATTCAGGGTTGTCCTTGGAGCTGTTGAGATGCTCTTTCTTAACAGGGTCACTCGCAGAGCCATTGTTATTGCTGCTAGCCTCCGGCTGGCCCTGCCATTCGCCATTCTCCTCCCGCTTAACATGTTGCTGCTGTGTTTGTTGCTGCTGCTGGGGCTTGTTGTATGCCTTGTTCACATCCGCACTATTCTTAAGCAGATCAAACTTGTCCACAACTGCTGCTGCTGTTGACTGTGCTACTGATTCAGACATTCTTTCCAATGGCTCCGATTTGATTTCATCTTTAACTTTGGTGTCCATTTCCGGTTCATATTCGGTTATTGCATCAGATCTCAGCTCCTCTTTGAGGTGCTGCTGTTCCTTCTCCAACAGCTCCTTCTCCGCGTTGCGTATATCACTGATCTCACCCTTCAGATCGTCTATCATCAGCTGCTGCACTTGCAACAGCTCCGAAGTGCGATGCGGCAACTGCAACAATTTCAAAATATTAATAATCTGTTTTAATAGGTGGTACTCTTCTGGAATATTTACCGTTGACTCCTGCAATAGAATTTCCTGGAATTTTCCATTTAGCTGTCGGAACTTATCGCGAAAGCCCAGAGCAGTTGCCTCAAATTCCTCGTCCTCATCGGAGTGCAGCTCCACATCGTTCTCATGCATGCAATGATATCTGCAAGCAAGTCCACAGTTAGTTTAGATATATTAATAGAAACACTTACTGCAGCTCACCTGATTAGCCTCTTGACCGCCTCGTCCTTGGTGCGAAACGGCTTCACATAGTCCGGCTTCAGACAGCTCTCCTGATCCACCTCCAATTGGCGCACAAACCTGCGAATGGAAAATCTATTAATTTATAATATAATATGGTCTTAACTAAGTGTATTCAAGTTGGCCTCATTTCTTTAAAATCGGCATTTTTCAACCAACTACTCACAAGGAGAGGCGCGCAATTTTTGGTTTTGGTGTGGGGAGCAACTCCTCCGGCTTCGGCACGGGCAGAGTCGGCAAAAATACGGGCAGTGTTGGTAGCGTTGGGGCAATTAAATTGCCCAACGCTGTCGCTGTCGCTGCCGCTGGTGGTGCTTGCGATAACGGCGGTAGTTGTTGCTGCTGCTGTATCTGTTGTTGTTGTGGGGGTTGCAGCTGTTGCGGTTGCAATGGTGGCATGGCTAACATGCCGCCTTGCATGTTGCTGCTATTATTGCTGCTGTTGCTGCTGCTATTGCTGTTATTGTTATTGCTGCTGTTGCTGTTGGATAACAGATTGGTGGAGCTTGCAAAGATGAGCGGTGGGGGTCCGTTTTTTAAGCAGGTGGCGGGCTGTTGTGGCTGTTGCTGCTGCAGTGGCACAGACATTATGCTCGTTTTCTGTTGTAACATGTTGACTGTTATATTCGTTAGCTGTTGTTGTTGCTGCTGCTGTTGATTAGACGCATTGGATTTGTTGCGACATGGCTGCTCCTTTGGTTTAGCTTGCGGGGTTTGTTGCTGTTGCAGGTTGCAAACGGACGCTGGTTGTTGTTGTTGTTGCTGCTTCAGCTGCGCTAGCTTTTGTTTGTTAGCCAACTGCTGTTGCTGTTGATGTTGCATGGGATAAATGTGTATGCGCTGAGCTACATTCAGTTGTTGTTGTTGTTGCTGCTGTTGTTGCTGCTGTTGCTGCTGCTGTTGTTGCTGCTGTTGTTGTTGCTGCTGCTGTTGTTGCTGCTGCTGTTGCTGCGCATTGATAGCTGCTGCAGCAGTAGCTGTGCTGGTGGTGGAATGATTGTTCGGTTGCACCACATTTGCTAATATAACACCCCCAGCTGTTGGTTTCAGTGTTTCTGTAGATTGTGGCACCTGCTGTTGCTGTTGTTGTTGTTGCTGCTGCACTTGCTGGAATTGCTGTGGCATCAGGCTAAAGCTGCCATTTGCATTGGGCGTTGGAATCATGCCCTCCGGCGTTGGCACCTCTTTGCCCGAAGCCAAGATGCGATGCTGTTCCGCAAACAAACGCTGCAGCGCCAAATTGATCTCTGCATCCGACATAGGTTTGTTGTACATGGCAATTGCTGCGGGATCCACATCTGGTGAAATTGGCAGTGTGGGCACAAAGGACTTGTTCTGCAGTTTTATGGTAAGGAACTGTATCTGCATTTGCACCGTGCGGAACACCTGCTGCATTTGTGGTGTCAATTGAATCGTTTGCACGCGCGAAATTGTGTTTTGTTGAGGGTGTTGTTGTGGTGCGGGTTGCGGCTGCTGTTGCGTTTGTTGTTTAGGCTGTTGCTGCATCTGTGCCGGCAATTGTAACTGCGTCACAACTGGTGCTGCTATTGCTACTCCACTGCTGCTGTTGCTACTGCTGCTGCTGCTGACCACAGAGCTAGGCGTTGAAGTTGTTGCTGTTAAGCTGAAGCTGCCGCGTTGTTGTTGCTGTTGCTGCTGCTGCACAGTTGCTGCTGTCCCTGTAGGTTGCTGCTGAAGCTGCTGCTGTTGCTGCATGGGCGCTGTGACGCCCACCAACTTGGTGCCGCTTGTTGTCTGGAATGGTTGTATGCTATTGCTCATTATGGTTGTTGTTGTTGTGGTAGTTGTCTGTCCGCCGCTGGAGCTGACAACAACAATCATCTGCTTGCCGCTTGCCACATTGGGCTGCACTATTTGCACGGGATTGTTGTTAGGTTTCTGCGAGAGCGGATCAAGCTTCGGCATGGGCTTGACAACGCTGGCATTCTTTAGACTGGCCAGCTCGGCTGCCGTCGGAGTCGTCTTGGGCTTACGCACAGGCTTCTTTTTGGCCACGGCGCCTGTACTGGTCGCAGTTGTTGCCGTGCTGCTTGTACCCGTCGCCTTTGCTGGCTCTAGTTTGGCTTTACTCTGGTCTATGATGGGCGCTACATTGGCCACCTGTTTGGTCACCGTTGTGGTATTCATTGTCGTGTTGCCGCTGGCGGTTAATGTCGTTGTTGTTGTCGTGCTGATGGGCAGACCCAGGCTGAGACCATGCCCATTGCTGATGGGCTGTATAGGATGCACGATCTGCTGCTGCGGTGGCTGAGGACGCAATGGAATGGGCAATGTTGCTGACGTCGTCGTAGCCTGCTGTTGCTGTAGCTGTGTGGGCGGCAAAGGATTCACATCGTTAAAGTGTAACTGACCCAGCTGCAGGCACTGCGCCAGCTGTTGGGCATTGATGCCAGCGGGCGCTATCAGCAGCCGCTCCGTTGGCCCAATTGATGCCGCCGTTTGGCCAGCGCTGATGGCCGTGATCTGATTTGACACGCTGTTCAGGCAGAACAACTGTTGTGTACTGGGATCGATGGGTGGTAGCGCCACATAACGTTGCGCGTTGTTAACCTGCGGCTGCGGCTGCGACTGCTGCTGAGCCTGTTGTGGCTGATGTGGTTGTTGTTGTTGCTGCTGCTGCTGCTGCGGTTGTTGCTGTACGAGCAATTGCGGCGTTGACGGCAATTGTGGAAAGTTTAAAGTTTCGTTAGTCTTAACGGGCATGGTCGGTGGTTTAATTGAGTTGGTTGTGTTGGTGGTAACGCTGCTGCTGTTGCTCAGCAGATTGCTGGCGGGCGCGGCGGGTGTGGACAGCTTTCTGTTGTTAGTAACTGCAAATGGGAAGAGGGTAGAGTTAGCAAGAGGAAAGTAGCAGATTCTTACGTATTCTATTACCTTTGACTTCGCTCTTAGGTGTTGCTGGTGCTTTGGGTAGCTGCTGAGCTGCTGTTGTTGTTGTAGACAACTGCGTCTGTTGCGGCTGTTGTAATTGCAGCTGCTGCTGTTGCTGCTGTTGTTGTTGCTGTTGTTGCTGTTGTTGTTGCTGCTGTTGTTGTTGTTGCTGTTGTTGTTGCTGCTGTTGTTGCTGCTGCTGTTGTTGTTGTTGCTGCTGTTGTTGCTGCTGTTGTTGTTGCTGCTGTTGTTGCTGCTGTTGTTGCTGCTGTTGTTGCTGCTGTTGTGGAGGCGGGGGCGTTGGCGCTGGTGGCTTGTTGCTGTCCATGCGCGTTGGCTCATTGATGATGGTTACATTGGGCAGGGCGCCCTTGAGCAATGCTTGCAGTATAAGCTGCGATTGGTGATCCTGCGGCGTGTTTGGATCATGACGCAAAATCAACCGCTCGCAGTGCTCCGACACGGCCAGTGTTAGGCTGCCCGTCAGTTGCGGCACTAGCGCCGCTGCGGATGCAGGAGAACCCACGGAAATGGACACATTACCCGGCATGCCCGTGAGCTGTGGCGGCAATATAGTGGCACCACCTGCCGTTGTGACAGCTTGCAATGGTGCCGCTGCGGCCGGCGGCGTGGCCTGTGGTATGGCCACCAATTGCATCTGGCGGCCATCGCTGGACAGCTTTATTGTGGCAGTTTCCGACGCAGATGCTGCTGTTGCTGGCGTTGACTGAAAGACGAGCTGCGCTTGCTGTGGAGCAATCGTTGTTGCCGTTGCTGCTGTTCCTGCAGCTGGCACAGCACCGCCCATAACGGTGGCTCCAGGCGGCAGAATCGGCATTATTTGAATCTTGTTCTCTACGGCGCTGCCGACGGGCATCGCTGACTGATGATGATTCTGCACCTGCGATATCTGAATGTTGCCAATCTGACTGGGCACGGTTGTGGGCGTACTGTTGCTGCCATTTCCGGTGCTGTTGCTACTCCCTGTCAGTCCAAGGCCGTGCGGCAGCAATATACTGGAGCTGCAAGTGCTGCTGCTGCTCACAGGCGTTGTCAGGGTGATGGTGTTGACAGTGTTGACGGCGCTGCTGCTGCTGCTCCCACTGCTGATGGTGGTCGTGGTGGTGCTGTTGCTGCTAATCATGCTATTGTTCATATTGTTGCTGCTGCTGCCGCTGGCGTTGCTGATGTTGCTGGCATTGCTATTCAGCATCTCCTGCTTTTTGGTGTTGCGACGCACGGCGGGTTTGCGACGCGGCTTAACGGCAGCCGTCGTTGCTGCTGTTACCGCGCTAGGCGCAGTGGCTGTCGTTGTTGCAGTTGCCGTAGGCGTGGGCGTGGTCAACGTTATACATGCCGCAACGGAGGTTGGCTGCAGCGTGACACTGCCTATGGTTTGGGCCTGTGTGCCCAGACTGAAGCTTATTGTTGGCGCCGGTGTTGTGGTCTGTATGCTGGTGCAGATTTTGGCACCAGCCGCAGCGGCGGCTGCTGCAGCGGCTGCCTGCTGGGCGAGATGTTGCTGCGCCTGCCGTTGAATCTCCTCGGCAGTGGGCAGGCGCGGCGTTGATAGCGTATACGGTGGTACAGTTGCTCCAGCGGCAGCGGACGATGCCGCCGCAGCATCGCTTGGATCAATCTTAATGAGGATATTTGGTATTTCGGTGGCTTCGTTGACCGGCGCTGGTGCCGGTATGGTCAGCGTGAAGGGCAGCCCATCGCTGCCGTTTTGGCTCGGTATGGAGATCATAATATCGTTGGAACTGGGCCCCGTTGCCGCATTGACTGCAGCTGCTGCTACTCCGTTGCTTAAGGGCGCCGGTGGTGGTGGCGGTGCTGGTGCTGACAGTGATTCCTCAACATGATGGTTGTTGTTGCTGCCGCTGCCGTTGCTGCCAGTGCTGTTATTGACTGCAGCTGGTGCAGAGCTTGTGACTGCATCCATGCCATAGTCTTCGTCGTCGTCATCATCCTCCGTAATGCCGCAGAACTTCATCACATCCCCGAGATCTAGTTTGCCATTGCTGGCGCGTTGTATGTGTGTGGGCGGCGGTGATGGCGACTTCAACTGTGCCGCCTGCGTTTGCGTTTGAGTCTGCGACTGCGGCGTGGGCGTTCGTGTAAGCGTCGTTGTAGAAGTGGGCGTGGCAGATATGGCGATCTTTTGCTGTGTCGTTGCCGTTGCCGCAGGTGGCTTCTTTTTGCGGGGCCGCGGCTTCTTCTTGGGCTCTACAATCTGTTGATGTTGTTGCTGCTGCTGTTGTTGTGCCTGCTGCACCTGCGTCTGTGTCTGTTGCAGCTGCTGCTGCAGTTGATGTATTTGCGCTTGCTGCTGCTGTTGCTGCTGATGCTGCAGCTGTATGGTGGCCATGGCCGCCTGCTGCTGCGGCGTCGGTTGACGCAGTGGCTCCGGTGTAACAGCCAGCGGTACATGCGCTGGCGAGGATTGAGCAAACAGCTCTGCGGAATTGTTGCCGTTTCCACTGGTCGCTCCCGACGTTGTGGACTGCTGAGGTGGCTGCGGCGTCTGAAAGGCGCTGGCAATCTGTTGCAAGTGCGCACCAGACAACTGATTCAGATTGATGGTGGCGCCACCCAGCGTCTGTTGCAGCTGCGAAATGGCCGCCAGACCATTCGGCATTTGTATCTGGGCAATGCCATTGCCATTGGCAGCCGCTGCAGCGGCTAGCTGTAAATTTTGCAGCTGTGCCGCAACACTCTGACCCAGTAACTGGGTGTTGATGGTGGCCGTTGTGGTAAACGGCTGAGATCGTGGCGTCTGGGCCGCCAGCGCGGCATGCAGACCGCTTAGCTGCGTGCCAGTCTTTATGGCGCTTTGGAATTGACCGGCTGCAGCCGTCTGCTGAATGAGGTTGCCCTGCGAGGACACTATAAATGTGGGTGTGGCGGCGGCTAACTGCATGGTGGCTCCATTGGTGCCCACAATACGTAGCAGCTGCTGTTGTGCCGGCTGCTGCAGCTGCGGCTGTCCACGCGAATTCTGTATAACCAGCGAGGGCGTCGTCAGCTGTGGCGTGGGTGGACGCAATATGAGCTGCACACCCTGCGGATTCTGCTGCACCAGCACGGGCATCTGATTCAGCAGCAATTGCTGTGGTTGTGCTGCTGTCGCTGGCAGCAAAATTTGCTGCTGCTGTTGTTGTTGGTTGTTGGCATTGTTGGCTGCAGCATTAAGCTGTGCCTGTTGTGGCTGCGTCGACTGCGAGATCTGCGGTAATTGTGCGTTGCTGTTACTGATATTTTTGTTCTTCGACAGCTGTTGCATTGGCTGAGAGCCCAGTTCCTGTTGTGGCTTAGGCAGTATCTGTTGGGGCGCCTTGCTCGCCTTCGTGGACGCTGTGGACAACGCAATGCCTGCATTGCTGGTATAACGTTGCTGCTGCTGTTGCTGATGATGCTGCTGCTGCTGCTGCTGTTGTTGTTGCTGCTGCTGTTGCTGCTGCTGTTGCTGCTGCTGCTGTTGCTGCTGCTGTTGCAGATGTTGTTGCTGAAGCGTCGCCTGCTGTGTGGTGGCTATGATTTGACCCTGAGGGCCCTGAATGAACTGAAACACTTGCTGCGGCGCCTGCTGCTGCTGCGGCCCGCTGGTGATGGTGAACTGCTGTGGAAGCATCTGAACGGTTTGAGGCTGCGGCGTTGGCGGTTTTATAGCCGCAGCAGCAATCGCGTTGCTGGGGCTGGGAATAGGACTATCCGCTATCAGCGGACTACTGCTCTGATACTGTTGAAACTGCACGTGTTGCTGTTGTTGATGTTGCTGCTGCTGCTGGTGCTGTTGGCTCAGTACCGATGTGGCGCCCTTTTTCGCTTGACCTTTTGGGCCACTAGCCACATTTGCTGTCGCAAACGAAATGGGCGTACTGATTGCCGTTGCATTCGGTTGCCCATAGCCGCCGGCTACCGTCGAGCAGATTGAGGTGGGCGCCGCTGCGCTGGTGCTAAAGATTTGCTGCTGATGTTGTATTTGCTGCTGCTGTAGTTGCTGATGCTGTTGTTGCTGCTGCTGTCCAGTCCGCTTGTTGCCCTTCTGCAAAACGAATGAAAAATGTTAATTCAAGTTCGTTCATTTTGATAATCGTTAACTACACTTTGACTAGTTGATTGTTAATGCCTTTGAATTTAAAAGCAATATACAACAACGAAGACCAGCGATTAAATCAGAAAATAAGGTAAACATGTTTTAAAAGCTTGGGCGAAAGCACCATTAACCTGTGATATTTATGAGTTGATTTCAAATAAAAACTAACCTATAAAATTAATTAGAGGAATACAATACAAATTATAAACAATAAAAATAATAAATATGATAATAATAATAATAATAATAATAATAATAATAATAATAATAATAATAATAATAATAATAATAATAATAATAATAATAATAATAATAATAATAATAATAATAATAATAATAATAATAATAATAATAATAATAATAATAATAATAATAATAATAATAATAATAATAATAATAATAATAATAATAATAATAATATAACAAATAATAATATAGTATGTCCCATATCAAAATCAATAAGCCCCATAGACTGAAAGTTGTCAAGAAGTTGACATCTACACACAAGAACTTTGAATTGTGCCGACAGTCATATAGATTGTGATTGGATATGCCTATTATGAGATGTGGGCAAAGTAGAGAATATATAAGAATTGTCTTAGTTATTTAACTGTATAATATAACAGTTATAAAAAGAATCTTCCAATATGGTGCCATGGTCTCAACAAGAAGAAAGTTCTATGGTAAGCTAGTAAAATCTTCTTAAGCCTTCTTCCTTAATGGAAACGGAAGAGTTGTAGATGGTTTAAAACGAAATCCATCTTTTTCTGTACCACGAGGACCTACATTTAAAATGTTAAGTCTTCAACTCTTAAGTCTTTGTGATCGGCGTAGCCTGTATATAGTTTGCACAAACCCGTTTTCCCCCTTTTACCTATTTTCAATGGTTATAAAAAATAAAATTATATTCAATTATTCATTATCCAGAAAAGTTAAGTAATATTGTGAGGTAATTCAATAAACTAGCATTTTGTATACAAGATTGCATCAGCTTTGTAATAGAATGTAAATTTGTGTTATTATCAGTTATCAGTGCTCCAATTTGATAGCGATCTTATCTTATCAGGAGGGTTGTAAGCGGTGCAACTCAATTAAATATACCTTGTTCAGTTGTATATTATTGGAGCCGACAAGCGTGGCGTTCAGCTCAGTGCCGATTGCATTATTGTGGCCACTGGCAGCGGCGGCGGCTATGAGACCGCCAGCTGTCACGCCAATGACCGTCGTGGCAGCGGCCGGTGACTGTGATGGACTCGGTTGAAAGACAACGGTGCCGGCATTGGGACTGCCATTTGTGAACTGATGTATGGATTGTCGCCTGCCAGGCGTCGCCGCCTTGCGCTCCTGTAAGGGATCAGATGATTAATGGCTTCCATAGAGATAACCCATAAAAGCAAGTAAATGTGATTAGACTTACGTGGTCCTGTGGATTGCTGTTGGCGTTTATTGCGTTGCCACCGGCTACGAGCACCACATCCTGTGGGAATGGCGATAGAGATGGTGATGGTTGCAGGCGTGGACTAGCTGAGATCGATGGCGATGGACTGGGCGTCAGAAACGGACCCGGAGGAGACAATATTCCTATAAATGCACAGGCAAAATAAAGAATTAGTACTCATTGAATATACATGTACGTATATGTATGTATACATAAGGAAGAAGTGCACTTATTCATTGTATTTTATGGGACCACCATTGACCCACTAATGTCAGGGTCCAGGCGTGTTTATTGGCCGACTGAGTATCGTGTAACCGAGGGGGCGCGAGTTGTCCATAATGAACACCAAGGCAAGGCATAAGCATCGACAACCATTTGGGGCCAGCAATCTTGTACGTGACCAGAGCGCAACTGAAAACATCAGATACAAGCGAGCGACACACAGCAAACAAGCAACAGAGTATCTTTCAGATACACACTCTCAGGCCACACACTCACGCATACACAATCTACTTGTGTAAGTGGGCAAAATTGCGCGCCATTTCAAAGTTGTTTATTTTGAAGCTGAAACGCTTCAATTTGCCGCCGGCTGTGCCATCACCCGCATTCCGCTCTTGCCCCGTTCAACAGTTGCCGTTGCTGGTGGCTGCCTTTGTGCATACAAAACGAGGCAACTTAACACATTTCGAGGCACCAACTAACCAGCTCAGCGGCGGGGAGTGCGTCAATACAATCACATATTTTTGGACAGAGCCGCGAGTCCAACAGAAACAGAAACAGAAACCAAACCAGTTTCATTAGTGCTTGAAAAAGTTCTTTGCACTTCTTCCTTTTCAAATTGGTTGGCTTTCTTTTTTTGTCGCAGCCTCTACCCTGTTGAATGTCTTGAAAGGGTACAATAAGGTTATGTACATAATAATCTAACTGGGATCGAAAGCCTTATCTGCTTTATGCAAAGCAAATTAGCTGCATTCGAGTTACATTATATTTTTAAAATATTATTCGTTATTCCACTAAAAATTTAAAAATAATCTAAAGTATTGAATGAGGGAAGACAAAAGTAGAGAACAACCGAAATCGAAATCGACAAACAGGCAGTATATATTACATCATTTTGAAATCATGTAAATTATTCTTAAGATTATGAGAATCACACAGAAAAGCACTCACAATTCAAAACGCATACTTTGATTGGTTGCAAACCGGAATTAAATTTTAACACGTTTTTATCAACAAATGAATCAATTTAAATATTATCGATTTTCATACTCAGAATAAGAAAGCAATAAAAATCTTTACGAGATATCAGAAACATTTGAACTCCCACATTAACGTTAAAAAAATTTAAAACTTGGATTTATAAGGCAACTTATTAAGAAACATAATTATTTACAGGGTACCACGTAGTCTTTAGCTCCTAATTAGAGTACACTTATTATTTATGCTTTTTTTTATGTTTTGTGTTTTTAATGAAGTGTTTCTTTTGCCAGCTTGCTTCGAAAATATTACCCAAAAGGCAGGCATTTGTCTTAGACATATTTATTTAGGTCTGGGATGTGGCTAAGTATTGTAGGGTATATTGCTTGGAAACTTCTTAAGCTTAAACACGTTTATAAGTTGAGACAAATTTGTAAAACAGAACACTTTTTCATCAAGAGATATGACTTAATTCCAGAAAGAATACGACTGTTGTTTGATGATGATACGAAGAAAAGACAATCTTGAAACTATACAATGTATTTATGGAAAGCATATTAGGAAATATTTTTGTTCGATGGATATAAAAAAAGATTATCTGAGTAAGTTGACATACTGAGCGTAAAAGTAGTTAAATGCACGTGCTGCTGTTTATTGAAATCAGCGTTGAAATATTTAACTAGGAGGCGTTTCTGAGATACTTTTTCAATTAAAAGTTCAGTTTTATTGTTGTTGCTGCTGCTGCTAAACATATTGTTGCTGTTGATGTTGCTCTGGTGGCAGCAATTTATGTATGTATATGTATATATATATTGATTAGAAAATGAAATGAAAAACCAACAACAGAGGCGATAAATTTACATAATACCAAGATTGGTTGTCCTGTTACAACTACTGAGGGACATCCGTAGCAGCAGCAGCAGAGCAGGTATTCATTTGCATAAGGCCAAAATGGAGCTAGCGAGCATAAGAAGCCAGCGAAAGGCATATGTCTGCTGCAAGGATGGTGACGGGAGGGTTTTCGGTCGGGCAGACACAAAGAGCGAACGGGCAAAGAATAAAATGAGGAATTACGGATAAGGCGGCAACAGAAAAACACAGCAAAAAGCAGAGCGAAGGCGTAGGATAAACGAGCATAAGCATCAAAGAGCTGCCATCGCCTCTCCTACATTGCCGCGGCTCGAGACGTTGTCAGCGATTGGAATTGAAGCATGAGACGAGCCAAAGCTAAGACCCCCCGCCTGTCTCGCACATAAACATACGTATGTATGTACGTGCATTTGTGTGTGTAGCTGTAGCTATTGCCGCCATTATCGACAGCAAAACAAAGCATAAGAAGAATTTAACAAGCGCAACTGCCGTCCGTTTACAGCTGCCCAGAGCTAGCAGCGGGAGACGCCGTCTTTCACATCATTCAACATGCACATACACACGTACATACACACACATCCGCATCATCGCTTACTGTGAAATTGTCCTGGCAACGTTGAGAGTTTCATATTTTTAGGCACTGGGCACAATAATTTTCGTCGGTGCCAAAGCTCAAGACGTCTTTGCCGAAGACGAGACGACTGTGCAACAGAGCGAGTAGCGCGACCAGGCGAGGGGTTGGGAGGAGGTGACAGGGGAGCAGCTGAAGGAACGTTGCCAGCAGCAACGTTCATCAAAAGCCGTGCCGCGTGTGCTCTTAATAACAATAAGTGTGCATCGGGGGGAGCAAAATATCCAAATACGAATAGAAAATACTTCTAGATGAATGCCTCACAATTTTTTAGTCATGCAGCAAACTGTGTCGAATTAAGGTGTGGCATCTTATAAGACGGGTAATTTTCCAATAACTCACAAAAATCAATCAATTATTTTTTAAGCATTCCATATCCGAAATTGAACTTTTATAATTTTGGATCAATCATAAAATTATTACTGTAGAAAACCAACTCGAAATGAATAAAGAAGAATGTAAAAAACAATAACTTCTTTATATTATCATGATTTTCTCTATATTTTCGTAATAACCGTATAGAAGGAGATACTACCAACAATATTAATCATATAATATTCTTGATCAATATCAATATCAATGGTCGAATCGACTTAGCCATGTTTATCTCTCCGTTTGTCACTATTCTATCAGATTTAAAGCTATCGACCTGAAACTTTGCATAATCCGCCTTTCTGTTGCAGGCAGTGCATACCATTTGTCGGAACCCGCTTCAATATTATATAGTTGCCGTATAACTACCGGTCGAAGAAACAGTTCTTAAATGAAAAACTTTTCTGTTTACTTTAAAGAACTCAGCATTTATTTGTTTCAGTAAGCTCCGTGCATATGAGCCAAATCTACAAATATCTCTAAAGGTATCAAGATCACCAAATTCAATAATTTCTCCATACATCAGTTAGTACTTAGTTTTCGGTGTGCCAAATATAGCCGTACGTTTACGTTTATTGGGCGTTTTATTTCATTTTCTGATAAAATTCATTGACTAAATATTCCGTATGTCGAATTCGTAGATTATCAAGTAATCTGATTTAAATTTCCTTTTTTCTTTTTGCCGCATGCCAAGCAAAGACCCAAACTCAGGCAGACAGACAGGCGCATAACTATCACGAAACCTATGTGTATATATATATATATATATATATATATATATATAGGTAAATAACTACTATATATATATATGTAACTAAACAGCACATGCAGCGAAAAGTGTACTTTCATGCTAACCAAAACCACGAACGCAACTTGCGCACAAAATTCAAATAAGAGTGAAAAAAGTATTTTGCGATAAGCAAATGAAAAACAATTTTATTAATGACGAACTTTCAATACGCTTAAAGATATATTCACTTGAATTTGCAATGCAGAACTATTTGAAGTGAATATATTTCCTGATCTTAAAAGCAAGCACAATGAATGTAATGTTAGTGTTACCCAAAAGTGGGCGCTATATAAAAAAAAAACATATTTCTAAAGTCTATAAATAATCTGAGGGAAATTTTTTATGGTTCATAAAAGCATTTGCATATTTTGAATTAATTTTAATTTAATTATTTATACTTTTTTAATTGTTTAAAGAAGAATAAAAATAAAGACAGAATGTGAAGTGTAAAATAAACTTCTTAAAACAGCAATGGAATTTCATTCAAAATAACCGTTTTAAATATATTATTTAAGCAAAAAGTTATCTTTTAATTAAAGCATTTGGGTGCAATTTTCGATTTCCCCAAGTATGAGTTTAATAAGTTATACCCAATTTGTACATATTATATTAAGCGACATATGGTTGCTATTGGATACAAATTTGTAGATCCTTTGAATTCAATTTCTCATAAAGAGTATAAAAAACCAAAGCGAAAATCGAGTAAAAGATGTACACTTGATATGCACGTACATACGTTCAGAGATACTCGAAAGTTTGGCTAGCCGAGACGCAAATGAACGCACGGATAGACAGCGAACGGTTGCATGGACGGTTGGATAGATGGATGGATGGATAGCTGGATGGCTGGATGGTTGGACGGTTGGATGGATGGTAGTTAACTGACTGCCCGACTGCATGCCTGCCCTTCTGCCTTTCTGCCCGCCCATCTACTTGAGTGTCTGGCGAGAACAGAGGACGACGACGACAGCGGTTCGGAGGCAGGGCCAAATGTTGCCACATTATTTTGCATTTTGTGCAGAAGCATAAAAACTGAGCCAAGCGCAGTTTGGGGCAGGGGGCAAAAACAGAGTCAAACGGCGGGTGCCCGCGCAGCAAGATGAATCCTATTTACGAGGCACCACTCACTGACTGACGCTGCACACTCTGTGTGTGTGTGTGTGTGTGCGCGCGCATCTGTGTGCATTTGCTCGAGTATCTGAAAGTTGGTTCTGTGTGCGCCGCTTTGCTGCCTGTCAAAGTCAGTAAAAATTCTGTTGGCACAAAAAAAAAAAAAGAAGAAA